GCTTCCAGAGATCTTTAGAACCACCTTTAAGCATGTGAAATGGACAAAGACAGTGAAGTCACTAGCTGCTTTACAAGTGTGATCACCAGGAACCTGAAGAAAATAGATTGGTTCTCAAAGTCAACAATTACAAGCTATTTTGTGGAACTTCTGTGTACTGCTGTGCAACTCTCGAGTGGCTTAAAATCCTTTGGCTCAGTCATCAGTTCTAGGTACCTAACAGATGTAAAACAGGTTTTTATGTAACTCAACCCAGGGTAGACCATGAAGCAGAATTAATTTCTAATGAATTTCTTAATGAATCTTGACTTGTCAAGAGTGATTCCTTGGTAGTGGCTCCTAATTAAGAAAGTGAGTACAACCAACCACGTAAGGTATTAATAGCTAGATTAATGCTCGTGGCAGCAAATCTCAGGGCAGTGAGGAGGTCCAGGGAGCAGTGGGTTTTCGATCCATCATCAGCATGGTCTCACCAACACAGAATTCCTGAGCAATGATCTGTACTTCAAAGCAGTATCATTTTAAAATGTTACGGCTGATAACTCAGGTGATATATATGGAAATAAGTTTGATGAATTTAAAAATATTTTAGTGACAGGAAACCAAGGCTGCTTCTAAATTGGGGATATTTGCTACTAATTGTATAAGGAGGAAAAAGATACGTATCTTCATCCCTACTCTACTACATCTTCAGCAATTTTTCCTAAAAGTCACATTCTAAGAATACAAAATATAAGGACCAAAGGTATATGAGTCCAATAATTTGTAGACTTTATTTGCTCACATGATCATTTAATATTTAATCATGATACATTCTCTTTGGGGGGAAATTATCAAAATATTTTTATAAGCTGTTATGATAAAATTAATTTCTCTCTACTCTTCACCAATATACTTCTTGTAATTCTCATTTGCTACATATAGAGGAATAGCCTAATCCAATTATGTAAGAAAAGATACTTGAGATACCTTTCCTTCATGAGGTGAAAAGCCTATGTCTTAAAAAAAAAAAAAAAAGCTTTGCTGTTTGCTTAACAGTCTGGGGGAAGCTAGCTTAATATGGGCTCCTCAACTACCTGGCATCACATTTAGAGTCTCTCTGTCTAAACCTTTCACAGCATAAGTAACATTTCTACCAGCTTCTCACACTCACCTGTCTTTCTTACTTACACCTCTTTAATCTCATTCCTGGTTTTGCCCAGGCTTTCCCTAGCACTCTCTTCCATCTCCTCCTACCATGCTTTCAGGAAGGAAGTTGTCCTTTGGCACATGTTCAGCGTACACCTAACCAGGATTCCCCAGGCAATACTATGCTTCTCTCTCACACAGTCTCACTTACTACTCTCATGAAATGATTGGAAATAAATGGGGTAGAAAAGAGACCACAAGGGGATTACGAAAGTTAGCCTTCTAACCTCCAGCCCTAATGTTAACACATCCAACTACCATCCTTTTCCTGGGTCTCACTCATCATTTAGCACTGCCCAGTCTCCTGACCTGTCATATTCCAGACACTAACCTGTTCTTAGAACACATCAAACTCTAAAAGCCAACTCCATTCCACATCACTTGTATCACTGGTTCATAGTTAACTGCCTTAGTGGACTCTTCTTGACTACAAGAGCAGGTATTTCCATGTTACCTCTACAGTAACTTTATGTTCTTGTTTTTAACTTTCTATCTAAACTCCAAATATTTGCTTTCTCTATTCCTGATGCTTTGTGCTAACCCAGAGGAATACACAAAACCATAAATAGACTATAGAGTTTTAAATTTGGGGCTAATCCTTATCTTTACACAACAATTCTTTAATTTACTTCTAATGTACTTATTCTCATAGGATATTTTTAAAAAGTCTTTTAAAACAAACTCCTACTTCCACTCTTTTACTCCCATTCTCAATGATACATTCTAGGAGTTACTGATACGAACCTCATCTGCTCTCATCTTCTCTAATCTCACTCTCTTTCCCAGATCTTCTCACTGTTCTTATAAACCAGAGAGGAAAATATATCTCTAAAGTTAAATGACAAACTCATCTCAGGAGCTTATCTCTCCCCCCCCCACCTGACTAAATCTATTATTCTACTGAATATATGTACCTTCTTTTCAGCACCGTCAATCTCTTCCTTTCAATCGGCCCTATATGCTCTGATTTTAAATATTCCAACTATTATTACTCTACCCTAAGCCAATCTGTTTGTACTAGCCAGTAACATCATAACGGAACTGCTTTCTAACTGGTCCTAATTACAATAGTACTGAATTATTCTTCTTAAGAAGAACACTACAATCAAGTTATATCTTTACCAAGGACTCTATAGTAGTACACCGCCCACATCTATATCAAGACTAAACTCTTCTTCCTAGTTTTCAAAGCTTTAAGCGCACTTATCCCAGCTTACCTATAATACCTATGTACACATTAGTTGTACCTATCTTCTTCCTGTCCTTCCCTCCCAACTCCTACATAGCACGCCAATCTCTGCCTTTGGTCTTAAGTTCGATCTCACCCCTTTACTGTACCGACACGGTGGTCTTAATTTTGTAAAATTTCAATTTTACTGCAATTTGTTCCTTTCTCTTAGCTTTCTGAGGCAATACTTCTCTGGGAGTATCCCTACTGACGTCTGTCACAGCAGTAAAGAGTTTTGGCAATCCTTCAGGTCCTTGGAATACCATATAAATAGAAGCCGTAGCAGCGGAAATGTACAAAATGCATTGCAGTTGTTTTTGTTAAACATACATATAGAAGGGTTTTGCTCAATTCCCAGGATGCTAAGTGAAGAGTAACAGGCACATGCATGAATTAGAATCATGAATTTATGTCTTTCCTACTAAGGAATATTCACCTCCTTCCAAATTATCATACACACTTGACCCTAGAATAACACCAGTTTGAGTTGTGCAGTTCCACTTATAGGCAGATTTTTTTCAATAAACACACTGGAAAATACAACCTAGTGCTGGCAAAATATTTTCTCTTCCTTTGATTTTCTTAATAATGTTTTCTTTCTCTAGCTTATATAAGGATACAGTATTTAATCCATCTAACATAAAATATATGTTAATTGATTGTATTATGGTAAGGCATCTGGTCAACAATAGGCCACTAGTAGTTAAGATCTTGGGGAATCAAAAGTTATACATGGATTTTCGATTGTGTGTGGGGCTGATGTCCCTGACTTCCATGTTGTTCGACAGTCAACCCTATTTTAAAGCTTAAAATATTCAATACCCTTTGTTGCCACTGTCAAGACGGCTTCTGAGAGAGATGAACAAGAAAATGAATCTAAACTTCTATGGCTGTTCTTGTGATCAGAATATATCAAGAGCTGTCCTGATACAAATAATGTGAAATCAGACTAGACTGTCATCGTTATGACAGGATTAGTATTTTATTCAATCTTGTATCCCTCTCTCAGGTCCACTACTCAGAATAATTACTTGAATACTTAATTAAACTAGTGCTTTGTTGAAACAATGGGAGAATATATAAAAATACCACCTGGAAAAACAAAATGCGACAGTAGAATGAAAAGCATTATTAATCAGAAAATATTTTCTAATGGAAATAGAAAGAAAATAGAGTAAAGAGGCATTTGACATTCTTCATAGGACTAAGGTCCTTTGGTGAAGGACTCTATTTACTACAATGGGACTAAGAACTGTTTCATGGCAGCAGTTTGTTTGTTTGTTTTCCCTGAGGGGGTTAGAGTGTCATCAAATCAAATTCTTCACAGATCTAATAACTATAGATCTTCTCCCCAGGAAAAAGTGGACATATGCATATGCACATAAACCCACAATTTGGCATGTACTGACTTCTGATCTCCAGGTTAAAAATTCCTGTGTTAAGGTAAAGATTAATCACTTTATAAAGGTTAAAGATGTAAAAAACATATATAAAGGTTCCTTTGAACATGATGGATCATTCAGGAATTTATCAAAAATGAACTAGAAGCTTTCTAAGAATTTTCTCATTCTTTTTTTTTGAGAGTTTTTTTTGTTGTTTTTTTCTTTTGCTATAGGGTGCGTGTGCTCGCCAGAAAGACAGAGAGAGACAGAGAGATAGAAAGCGAGAAAACACCCTCCAGGGGAGATGTAGGCCATACCCCAATCCCTTCTCCTCCATTAACCTCTCGTGATCTTGAGCCACCAGGTCTGGGACTCAAACAGCGGTCGACTACATGGGAGTTCAGCGACATAGCCAATTGCTGGTCCCAGAATTTTCTCATTCTTTACTCTTTACCATTGTTTTGGCTTTAGTTTTCTTGCTATGTGGTATTTTCTTTCTAGTGTTGTGTAATATTTTCAGTACTTTACTATAAAAGTATGACTATGGTTTCAAGATTTCAATGTCTAAGAAAACTATTAAATGTAATACTAAGTAAGCAAACAGGATTTATACGGTCTACGAATTACAAAGTTAAAAGATCATCTTTAGCCATTCAATGCAAAAAATTAGAAGCTGAAATCTAACTGTTCAAGAATCATTTTCCTGATTTATGGTGTTCCTGGAAGTGGGAAAGAGGAAAAATAGGCAAGGAGATAGTTTTGATATTCTACTCAGGGAGTAGCAAATGTGGACAAACTACCTGACTTTTTTTTTTTTTTTTTTTTTTTTTGCACTGGCTATGAATGAGAAAGGACAGAGAAAGCTACCAGGGGGAAAAAACTGCTTAAGAGGTATATTTCTCTAGACTGAGAAGTGAGTAACTAGGAGCTAAAAACCTCCTATCTTCTGCAAGAAGATCCAGGCAATGAAAGGCTTGCTTACACGATGGCTGGAGAATGCTATGAGCTTAAACAGTTTTATAAGGAGACAGAGTTTGTTAACAAAGTCCAAGAGACTTAGCTTCACAGGAGACACGCTGAAATCAGCCTCTTACAGCAAAAAAAAAAAAAAAAAAGAAGAAGAAAGAAAGAAAGAAAAAAGAAAAGAAAAGAAGAAAGAGAAAAAAGAAATCGTAATTAAATTAAGCTATGATAAAAGGCTCATGTTTAATGAGTCTACAATATTTTATTGGTATTTTCTCAATTGGTATTGTCTTGTAATGGTGTAGTCACTTCTAAAGAGAAATCAGAGATTACTATTTATGCTGAAGTTTACAAAAATAACTTAAAATGGCTAATTAGTTGTTTCTGCCCCCTCAGGTAACCAAATCTAAGGAAAGATTTTTGGTTTACTATAAGATACCTCAGGATAAAGCCATTTAATTTGTTACATTATATCTAATAGAAAATAATCAGATCTTTATATAGTGGCAACCTTGACAACTCCAACATGACACTATCACCTAATAAGGTATTTATTATTATTTTAATTCTCTAGACTTCTTTTTGGTATTCATATATCCCTTTCATTATTTCTTAACAAATTAAGGCATACCTTTTTATTACATTTGTTTTTTTAAAAATCTCAAGAGGAGGTCTGATTTTCCCTTTCTTCTCAGATGCTTCATTTAGGCAGAATATGGTCATATTTCTGAAACGGCTTTTGTCCACTGCTCAGAACTGAGTTCAATTTATTTCCTTTTATTATTAGTTTTAAAACTATTTCAATAAATTTTGTATAATTCAAAAACATCATTTCACATTACATCCTAACAAAGTACTCCACTATTCTCTGTGATTAACTAAAGTTATCTATTACAACTTACGTGGCCAAACTTTAGATATACAATCTCTTATCTTCCACCTTAGTCTCATTCTGGTCAGGTACTTACAATACAGTCTGATTACCACATTTTAATGATCAAACAACGAAATTTCCAAATATTCCACAGAACTATGTTTGTTCAATAAAAATGTTACACTACTACGGTTGCTTCTCACATACAATGATTACCCCATATTCAAGTTTCTGATAGGTCAACTATAAGTTGAAATTCTGTTTTTGAGGCATTTCCTGGTATACTAGGCAGTGCATTAGAAAAGAGATTATATTGCATTTAGGCTATAATAATTATCTTTTAACCATCTATGTATAATTAACAACCATTAAAAAGAAAGTGCAAATGTGCAAATGAGAGAACAAAACAGTTTCTACACATGTAATGCATAATATAGGATATAAATCCAGACAACTATGAACAATTGATGACAATATCCTTCTGAGCATTAAATGACACCACCAATTGTGTTTTATATGTATTCTTTCTTCTAAAGTATTCAAAGAATGCAATAGACATTATTTTCTTAATTTCCAAATGTTTCACGAGTAGGATATTACCATTTTTTTCACATATCAGAAAACAAGAACTACCATTACTTTTGTATATTTTCAATAATAGAGCCAAAATAAGAACAATTCTAGCTAATCTCATCTGGGATCTTAATTAGTGCTACAAGTTTATTTGTATGCGTTAAAAATAGTATCACTCATGAGAAACAATGCCAAAATTGTTATGCTAATAAATGTTAAAGGCCTAATGAAGAAATACTTTAGCAACTATGAGGTAACACACTAGTTGTAGGCATGAGGAACGTTTATGTTGGCTCTTTTGGGTGTATACATTAAATGCAAAATCAGAAAGGAATCATGCAAAAATCCGGTTGCCCATGCAAGCACCCCAGAGTCTAATCCTCTCCTCTCAGTTCTGTTGTCAGGCCACAGTAGTGTGGAGACTTGTAGGCTGCTGTCCTTGTTGTAATGAATGGGAAGAGGCTGACAGTGGCATGGTCGAAACCTTCACCTCTTCTTCCCCTGTGGAAAAGTCAGTCATGGTCTAGTTACGGGTGACCAGATTTGTTAACAGTCCCTTTAAAAAATGACTTCAATACTTGGAATACTGATACATATACAAAATACATGCTTAATGACTGGAATCCGGGTGTGAAACAGAAGACATGAGTTTCAAAATATAAACTTAGCAAGTACCTAATAAGTAGTTACACTCTAAACACACCCTTAATTTTACTACTATATCAGAGATAAGATCAAATATAATGATTTAGATTATAAATACACTACCTAAATAAATAAATAAATAAATAAATGACCAGGAAAGCCATTCTTTTCCAAGCTAATTGGACCCCTTATAAGTAGATACTCCTAATGGTCAATGGTATTTTGTGAAAAAATTAAAACTTCATTTATAAAAGAGAAAAGCTAGTTTTTAAAAGATGAAAACAATAAATCCATGTTTTAAAAGCATAAATTATGCATTAGAAAAAATGAAATAATAGATCAAAATTAATTTAGAAAATTAACAAACAGCTTCTGGAAATTCAATTTGTACTTTTTTTTTTTTTTGAGAGGTTTTCGCTATAGGGCACGTGTGCTCTCCAGACAGACAGAGACACAGAGACAGAAAGCGAGAAATCACCCCCCAGGGGGGATGGTCACGCCGCAATCCCTTCTCCTCCATTCTCCTCTCGGGATCTTGGGCACGCACACACACATGCGCCCGGCATGAGTTTTAAGCCACCGGGTCCGGGACGCGAACCGTGGTCGACTATGTGGGAGTCCAGCGACATAGCCATTACACTAACTGCTGGTTCCCCAATTTGTACTTTTAAAGTAATTCAAAACTGTAAAATGCTAACAATACAATGATCCAATTGACTGAAAGTGAGATGACTACTTCTAGGTCAGAGAACAATACATGAATGAGATCAGTTTCCCTAATTATAATTGATAATTATTTGACTACAAGTGACTTGTTTCACATATGACTCAAATTCAATCAAGTCACTGCCAGAGTAGTTAATACAGACAAAAGAAAATTCAAAGAAAAATGCCCTTTCCTAAGTAAAATCTGAACTAACAAAAATATGGGGGAAAAAATCCAATACTAAACAGCTTCAAAAGTTTGTGTATAGATTCAGATTTACTATTATTTGTTTTTCAAATAAACTTTAGCACTATCAAATAAAAATATTTTGGCAGAGAGTTCTGTGAAAAACAAAATGGCAAAATTACATATAACTGACAAAGCATACAAAGAATCTTTCAATCATAGAACAGGTTATAGTTTATCAGAAAACTGACAAAGATTCTAAAACTTCAAGTATATAGTAAGAAGGGTACACAAAGCAAATTTAAACTGGAGTTCTTTGTGAGAACATGGTACTAATGAGATAACTAAGTAAGAGACTGATTGTCAATTAATTTCATTCTATTTTGTAACTGTAGACCTTATCCCTGAGCTGGGCCAATTTGTCTTATGAATAGACAGTTAATAAAAAGGGACTTACAAGTGTGTGAGAGCAAAAATCAATTTCTATGGGAAAGAAGCCAAGTTAAAGCATATGCCAGTGATCTTCATCTATGAAGAAGAGTAGCAGTGTTGTAGCACAAAAACATTTCCATTATTGAAACTTGAGATCTGGGTTCTTATCCTAATTCTAATACTAACTGAATGTGTGACCTTTAACAAATTACTTAAGCTTTCTGGAACACAGCTTTACCATTGCTAAATGAAGGGAGCTGGACAAGATAAGTCACTTTTTGGAATAAAGGCACATGATTCCAATAATGAAAAAATCTGAATGAACTTACTGTAACTGCCCACCAATCAAAGTTTTCCCCAAGAATATTTAAAAAAGTCCTTCTAAACTTGGCAAACCAGATATGCAGCCCAGGAAATGCTGCTAAAAAGATTTCATCTAATTAAGGAAATAACTAATTTAAACACAAAAATGTTTTCAATTAGACAAAGGAAATCGAAGCCACATTCCTGTCAAACCTCTGGCAACTGTTTCTCCCATGATAGGTTTCAGATATGTAAAGCTTTAATAATTAAGTGAAACAAACCAAAAATAAAAGTTTAAATACAAATATATAATAAACAGACATAGCATTTGTAGGACACGAAGGTGACTGCCACCTCTCAAGTGCAATCCTTCAGGTCAGGGTCCCTATTTTGCTCCAAGTATCTAAAGAATAAATATGCACACCTTGTCTGGTGTAGAATTAGTTCATTATCTACATGTATCTTAAAGTATCAGGTCCTACTACAACAGTACGGCTACTGAAGCATTTCATAAACATCTACCCTGTGTAAGATACCACGATACTCATTGGAGAAAGAAAATAGTTCAACTCAAGTACAACTGAGTTATAACTCAGGGTAGATTAGGTAGATGTTATCTAGGTATTAAATTGCTTCAAATTAGAATTAAGATATATAGTTTTCCAAATTTTTATTTTCTACCATTTCTGATAATTACTGAAAATCCTAACTCATCTTGTTACAATTATGTAACTATTCTATTTGAGGCTTAGCATATTCAGTTTCTTGAGGTATCTGACAACTATTTATAAGCCACAAGACCTGGTTTGACTCCTATTAATAATTTTAAATATTTTGATACATTAAAACTAAAATTTCTTTAGTCATGAGAGCCATTTTAAAAAAGAATCTACTAACAAGCTTAATCACAGTCACCATTTAAATTCATGCAAGTATGCACAGCCAATAACAAACTCTTCTTGCCCCCAAACAAATATAATGATTCAGAACCTAAAGCTGGTGACTTAATTTTTAGCATCTCTGAAAAAAAGTTTTTAATGCTCTAAGTAAGGTATGTGGTTAAATGAAAAACAAAACAAAACAAAAAACCCATCAAGATAGGGCCATAATTTAAGGTCTTTTTTCTTTTTTTTAAATCAAGTACCTACTTTAGTAAAGATTTCAAATCACTCAACTATACTCATAAATCAGTGATTTCTCATTACCAGTGTGGCATTTCCAGAATACCCATTGGCTTAAAATAACTGGGTTTAAGACTGTTCTTTGGTGCTAATGGACAATATGATAACTATGAAACTGGAACAGATAATCCATCAAAGATGGTGACGTAATAAGTGAAATAAAAGTACAAAATGAAGACAGCTAAGAACTAGAGTCCTATGAAGGCATCCTACTCCCTATCACAAGTCCATGCCATTTTGCCTTGCTGTTGGAATCCCTCATTTTCTCACTCATTACATGTATATAATTTAAGTACCTCCTGTCACAGAAAGCAGTTCTGCTTCTTACTGTTATGACACACTAATTCCTGCCTCTATGGCTTTATTCAGGAGATTTCCTTCAATTTAAGGCCTTTTTCTCTTCCTTGACTACTAACCCAAATTCAGAGGTACCACAATACAGATCAGTTCCTACTTCTTCAATGAAGCCTCCCCAACAATTATAGGCTACATTGATGTCTATCAGATTCCAGTACCATACATGGAGTCACCACTTTCATACATGGTTTTAATTTTATCTCTTCATCTGCATTGTAAAATACCTGGAAGTTGTGTCCATGTTTTACACTATTTTTGTATTCCCAGCGTGGTCCAGTTCACTTTTGGGCAAATGGGAACCCAAATATCCATTGTAACTGGTCTGATACTTTATTTTTCAATGTTTAAAATATTTAGGGGAACTTAGCTTCAACTTTTAATGTTACGATCAGGTATGAGATACACTACTAGTAATTAAAATGCCACATTTCTAAATGATTAAAACAAAGTAAAACAGAACAAAATTACATTCTAATATGCTATCTTGAATGGAAGGAAGAAAAAAAAGGACTAGGAACTGAACACTTAAGTGTTTCACAAGTGATTATCATGTAGAAAGAGAGGACTGAAAAATGCCACTCTGGATTACCTAGTAACTACTATAATTAAATGAACAAATATCACGAGTTCCATAGATGTCAAAATCAGTACTTTAGTGCTATTAAACTTATATAAATTACCTTCTCTGTATCAAACATCACCTTCACTAGATCAACAGCCACAAACTATACTCTCTTAACCTACCTACTTATCTAGAACATGGAATATTGTTTTCCCAAGGGGAATAGAGCCAAAGCATTTTAATGAATCTCTGTAAATGCATCTATCAATCTTGCTAAAAACAAGAGTGTGAGCACCGTGCTGGTACAGCACCCTATTACAGTAACACGGTGCCATGCCATACCTTAAAAGGCCATGACAAGGGATAAAAGTAAAATACATGAATTATGTAACAGAGGAAGGGACGATTCTATTCTACTTGAGAATCAGGAAAGGCGTAAACTCTCTTTTACATCATCACTAAAACCCAAAGCAAATGAGAAAACTATTATTTAAGAATGACTCCTTTAAATATAGAAGACACTTTATCTAAAAAATGTTATGTGGGATCTTAAAGTCCAAAAGTTCTGAAACCTTCAAGGGTAGCAGTACAAAACCAGAAGTATTCTGGCATTAAACATATATTACCCCTATATATATTTAACATTTTTCCTCAGAAATAAAAAACATGACAGACCAAAAGGGAAAATATCTCCCCTCGAATAATTTTTCACAGAAAGTATTTTTCTGTGACATATGATGTTTGTAAAACATTAATAATCAGAGTTCTCAAATATTAAGTAGTTCATTCATAATACAGCACAGTTTTGATGTGTATATGTATCAAAATAAGTAATTGCCAAACGTAGCTGGAGAGTGGCTTTATCTCTCACGCTTTCAGTAGTTTTTTCTTTTTTTTTAAATTTTTAACCACATTACTTTTAGAACATAAAATCGGGTTTTCGTTTGTTTGTTTTTACCATGCTGTTGGACTTTACAGCACCATAATTTCAGAGCCCATTTTCCTTTTTTTCTTTTTGCATTTATATACCATATGAAAGGTTGGTAACTACCCTATTAAGTAAAATGCTTCCAAACAATAACTAAGTATAATACTCCACCATCCTCATAAAGCTCAATATTACAAGGCATCCATCTAATTAAAAATGTTTTAGATTATAATAAAAACTAATTTTTCTAAAATAAATTTCTAAGACTAATAATAAGTACCGCTACTCCCTCCCTACCCCCCCAACAACCTGGAGACATGAGTTATTCATGAATTCTCAAAGGCTTTAAGTGAACCTACCTGCTATAGGGATCCCTCCCAGACCTGTGTTGTGCTGTGGCGGGAGATTCAAGTCCAAGAAATTACTATTTGAGGTGGGGTTTGCTGTGTGGTTCAAGTGCATGATGCTATTGCGTGGGAAGGCCATCCAAGGATAGCGGGCTGCCTGGCCTGGAAAACTGAACGAATTATAAACTGCTCGGTGCTGCTGAAATTGAGGAAACCTCTGTGGCAAGACTGAAAAGGTACTATTGAGAGAGTTGGCATTTGTAGGTGCAGCAGAATGCAGGAATCCAGAGCCTGGACCTTTGGCGGTTGTAGTGTGTGAAGAGGAGTTCTGAAGAGATGTAGGCGAAAGGGAAGGTTGATCTTGGACGGACAGTTCCTTCTCAATTAGGTCTGCTAAGGCTTTTCGAGTGACATCAAAAGGATCAAAACCCAAGTCATCCTCTGGTTGTTTTGAAGAACCAAAGCCAAATGCTGCTTGCCAGTCTGTAGAGGACGATACTGGGATTGTTTCTGTTGAGACAGACAACAGTGATCACTATAAAATACACAGTTCACTTTCATACTTAATGAGTATCCAAACTAGAGAAAGTTAAACACGTCATATCAAAAACTAACATCAGTTATATACAAAATCTGTATGCATTCTCAGCAAATTGACATCATATAATTAATCATAAAAGGCCTCATAGACTTCTAACAGTGATTTCATTCTTAATTACTAACTTTAAAACCTGAATGAAATAGACTGGTTTTGCTCAGTGTGGCAGAGAGAAGTACTCAATCTGACACTCTAATTATACTCTCTACCATTCATAATCAAGACTAGCATAATTCATTAAACAAAACAAATAAATGTAATCCAATAGGTTCTAATTCTAAAGCTATTTAATAAAAAAGGTATATTATAAATGACAACTAATTTTGAATATATACTTTATATACTAAGAAAAAACTATTTTTTTAAAGGTTGAAACAGGTCACTTTTTTTTTTTTTAAAGAATTATTTTATTTAACTTTATTTATTTTCATTTGACCAGAGAGGGACAGAGAGAAAGTGAAAGAGAAAGTGAGAAACCAAGCCACTAGGTCCAGCACTTGAACCATGGTCGGTCATGTGGGAGTCCAGCACCTTTAACCACCACACCACCTGCCGGACCCAAAAACCTGTATTTTAATGAAAAAAAGGGATCTAATGATTCATCAGAAAAGCTGATGTACTTTTTCATGCTTTTCTATGCAAAAATGTATCATGGGGATGAGAAGATGGCATAATGGTTACATTGCTGGACTCCCTCGTAGTCAACCATGGTTCGAGTCCCTGACCCGGTGGCTTAAAACACACGCTGGATACATGTGTGTGTGTGTGTGCCCAAAATCCTGAGAGGAGAATGGAGGAGAAGTCTGTCTTCAGTACATTAATCACCAACACTCGATAGGTACCACTGTGACATACCTGATGTGAAGAGGCTCTGTGGTTCTGGTGCTGTAGGCCAGTCACTGGATGTCTGTGGGGAGCTGGGGAAAGGAGGAAGCCCACTTGGAATAGGGTTGGGATGGCGAAAATTGTCTGAGAATAACGACTGTGACTCTGTTACTGCCCCTTCAAAAGGGGATCGTGCACTGTGATTGGATGAACTGATGGGGATGACTGGGTTGGATTTTGATAAACCAGGTGGTGGTGATGGTGTATCACTGTTAGATATCTAAATAAAAAAGGAAAAGAAAAGAATCAATACAAATGTATCATTTTTTAAATAAGCCACAACAGAAAAGGCTGCAACTAAATGTATTAGATAATGATCTTCAAATCAGGATACTTGAAGACTTTGTAATGAAAGCACTGAATTTCAGAAAAATCAATCTCATCTTTAACTTGTATATGTACTCTATTTAAAAACTGATATTGGGCCAGCTGGTGATGTGGTGTTTAAGGCAGCTGAATCCCACATGGCCGACTGCAGGGTTCAAGTCCTGGACCAAAGGTTTGAAAAGGTGCTAGGCATGTGTGTCTGTGTGCCCAAAATCCCAAGAACAAAATGGAGGAGAAGGGACATCCCCCGGGACATGCTTCCTCACTTCCTCTCCTATCTGTCTCAGGCAAGTACATGTTCTCTAAGCAACTTGGAAAACAAATTAACAAAACCTAATATCCTGAAAAGACTATACTAGTCTCCTTTCCTTGACACCATTATTCTTCTCACATTACAAAGACAAGACTATTTCTCACTCTCTGTATTCAGGATTCCACTACAATATTTTGCTCAACAGTGGAAGTTTTCCAGGAACCAAACAAATTATTGGAACTACCTGAACTGGTGATAAGAGAATAACTGATTCATAATGACTAGATCCTTTTGCAAATTAGGAGATTCAGTTTTCAACAAAACTAAAGGAAGATCTACTCAAGTGGTTCTCAAACACATCATTTAAAATAATTTT